TATTTTAGTGGTCGCTCAGGCGGTTTTCCAGTTGACATCTCCAACATAATTACCCCTAAACTATAAATATCAGATGCTTTCGTGTATTTTTGCATGTTTCTTGGCAATACTTCGGGTGCAATATAAGGCATTCTACCATATACGACATTATTTTCTGTTACATTATCTGTTTTTCTAGTAAAGCCTAAATCAGCAATTTTTGGTTCTATACGTGATTTGCTTCCAGTATTTTGTGAAATTGCCACAGCTTTGCTACCAAAAGTAAAAGTTTTAATCTTAAGATCTTTAAAGTCCTCAACACTTGTCATAAGTATATTACCACTGTGAAAATCTCCATGACAATAATCTTGTTCATGAATATGATTTAAATTATCTGATATTGAACAAAGAATTTCTATTTTTTGTTTCCATTTAAGAACTGCAAAATTTTTGGATACATAGTTTCCAAGATCGCCTTTATCCGCATACTCAAAAACCATCATATATTTTCCTTTACCTAGTTTATCTGGTTCATCTGGTTTGTATGTAATTCCATATGTTTCTAATCCATATTTCTCTATATCGTATCTTTTACGCTGACATTCATAATAAGCTTTAAACTATAAATAATGGAAAATGAATTTATTAATAAAATATCACATATTTATCATAAACAATAATCATATTTACCTCATTTATAAATTTAGATGTATCATTACTGTCTAGGCATTTTAGAGCAACCGTACAGTTCTGTTCACGAGATATCTTTACTTGATTTTTCTCGATTACATATTTCCGTTTACCATCAATCCAAGTTGCAGAATAAACTATTCCAAAACCACCTTCTCCAATTTTTTCAATGTTTTCTAATCTTTCAAAAGGTATCCATTCGATTATTTTATCATAATATTTTGATTTATTTTGTGCAACTTTAATAAAATTATCTATTTCATCATTTTTATTACTATATTGTTGGCTTATATCATGTTTATGACAAAATGCAAAACCATAATTATATCCACTTTTATCATCATTACATTTATTATTCTCGTTATATTTACTATCCTCATTACATTTATTATCCTCATTACGTTTGTTATACTCTTTACATTTTTCACAAGTTCCAAACCTCATAGAAGCTTTTTCGTAACTATCTATATTAGATTTAATTCCCAGAGCATTTAAATCTTCATGTGACTCTCTATATTTACCCATCATTTTATAAGTTATTCCACGATTACTTAATGTTATAAAAAAATTTGGTCTTATTTTTAATGATTCATTTAAATCTTTGAGAGAATATTCGTATTTACCTTTATGTTGATATATTAATCCACGATTATTTAATATTGTAGCATCATTCGGTTTTATTTTCAATGATTTGTTTAAATCATCAAGTGCCAGGTCATATTCGTCGTTTAACATGTAAGTTATTGCACGATTGTTTAATTGTTTATAATCTTCAGGACTAATTTCCAATGATTTATTTAGATATTTAAGTGCTTCAGAATATTCACCCATATCTTGATATGTTAATCCAAGATTATTAAGTGTCGTAGAATTTTTTGTATCAATTTTTAATGAATCCATTAAATCTTTGAGTGATTCATCATATCTGCCAATCTTTCGATAAGTTGCTCCACGAATATTTAGTGCAAGGGTATAATTTGCCTTGATATTTAGTCCTTGTGAATTTAACGAATTCTCATTATTTGTTATGAATCCTAATGAACTGTTTAAATTTTCGAGTGATTTTTCAAATTCATCCATCTTCTGATATGCCAATCCACGTAAATTCAACGCATCTATATTATTTTCTATGATTTCTAATGATTTATTTAAATCTTTAAATGATCCTTCATAATCTCCCATCTTTTGAAGAGCTAATCCTCGCTGATTAAGCATTGAAACATTATTAGGACTTATTTTTAGAGATTCATTTAAGTCTTCAAGTGATTTTTTATAGTCTCTCATTAAATGGTAAGTAATTCTACGACAATTCAGAGCCATAATGTGCTTTGGTTTAATTTCTAGTAATTTATTAAAGTCTTCAAGTGAATTTTCGTACTCGCCCTTTTTTTGATAGTAAAATCCTCTATTGAATAATGCTGCCTCATCATCTGGCTTGATTTCTAATATTTTATTAAAATCTGCGAGTGAATCTATGTCTCTACCCATTTTTTGGTAGGTTATTCCACGATGATTCAGTGTTTGAGTAAAATTTGGCAGGATTTCTAATGATTTATTTAGATCTATAAGTGATAAATCATATGCTTCCAAATTTTGGTATATACATCCACGTAAACTTAACTCTATTGCGTTATTTGGCCTAATTTCTAATGAACGATTTAAACTTTCAAGTAAGTTAACAATTAATTCATCATAATGACTTAATATTTGATCAATAATTTTACTGGGATCTGTTAGATTATTATTTAAATTGTTTTCGGATAACTCTTCTAACAATTCATGTTTATCTAATTCTTTATTATCGCCAGATAATAGGCAATTTAATAATTTAGCTAACTTTGCAAATTTTTTAATCATTATTGCATGGGAAGGTGTTATAGTATTAATCGCCATCACTTTATTCATGTCATTTAAAGTTGATCCAAATAGATCAAATCTATTTAGATCTTCATGTGCCTTTTCATAGTTGCCCATAAATTGGTATGTTATTCCACGATTAGCTAATGCATTTATATTATTTGGATTAATTTCTAATGAATTATTAAAGTCCGTGAGTGACTCTTCATATTTACCCATATATTGATAAGTTAATCCTCGATTACTTAATGTAATTGCTTGTTTTGGGTTAATTGATAATGTTTTATTATAATTCACTAGTGCCTTTTTCGTATTGTCCCATATAATGATAAGTTAATCCTCGATTGTTCAATGCAATTAAAAGGTTTGGGTCAATTTCTAATGATTTATTAAAATC